AACTTATTTAGTTCGTTTATTTATTTAAAACATTTGTATGCCGCCCAGTTGCACCACCGCGCTCTGGGTGGCTCACATCCGCAAGACAAAAACATGATAAAAGCATAACAAAAACAGTAACACATGAAAAACAACAATAAAATGCAGCAGAACGTATCAAACAAAGGTCTTATGGCAATTAGTTATGGAAATATATTTTTGAAAGGGAGGTCTTTGCCTGGCGCTGAAAAGAAAGCAAGGCAGGCGCCGGGTGGATCTCCTTGGGGAGAGCGTTCCAAATGTGGGGATATCCCTCCCCGTGTGAATATACCCTCGCGCTCTGCGTGGCCCAGGGCAGGCTTCCCGGGGGGCCACGGCTCCTCTCCCCCAGTGGGCCCAGGCCACGAAGGCCGCTCTGCCTGCTTGCGGGCAGCACATGAGACTGGAGCCCCCGGGAGGAGGCGCCGCCTCCTGAAGCAGCACGATGGGGAAGTGTGCGGGGCACCTCGCTCCACCGCTGTGGGTCAAGCATCGTGCCCAGCATGGCGGCCGAGGGAGCAGCTGGGCTCCCAGGGCTGACGGCCCAGTTCAGACCAGCCTGGCCCCTCTCCGTTGGGCGAGCAAAGGGAGAATCTGGAGAAAAGGGAGAATCTGATGACACACTGCCCCTGTTTATTTTATTTATTTATTTCAGTATTTTTACCCCATCCCATACGTTGCGGGTCTCTGAACAGCTTACAAGTCAACATCCGATAAATACCTATAAACCCAAATAATACCAAATAATCTGCAAACTGCCCCCTTCTCGACTTGCTTGCTGCAGGAGTCCCCTTCCCCGCTGGCCATGTCGAGGAGGGGAAAGCTGAAGGTGCTCCCAATATTGTTGGGGCTGCCGAAACGCTACGCTCAAGCCAACTGTGTCTGATGGAGTATGTGATACAATCGGCTTCCAAATTAACCGAGCACCATCCAGGAAACAGCATCTTGCAACATTTGCATCCCAGCACTATGCTAGATGCAGAGAAATTTTCAAGTGTGCCAAAGCAGCATGATTATTCGCAAGGAGTGCTCAAAGCCCCACCATTGGAAAAGTCCGTGGGAATATTTTCTGGAAGGAGGCCCTGTAGAGGTGCCTGGGGCAACCCCATCCCAGTCAAAGCATTCAATCGCTTGGAGAGTCAACCTTGACACCATAATGTGTGTGCTCTCTGGGAAAAGAACTATCCAAGGCCAATGAAAAGCCAGCAACACTAAGAGCATAAGAAGAGCAACGGGAAGGACGGTGGGAAGCATCCAGCACTCCGGGGGTGCTCATGTTGTATTAGCGAAAGCGGCCACCAGCTTACCCAGAAGCCAGTGGCGGGTGGCGCAGCCCTGGAGGCCATCTCAGATGGCTCTTTCAGGGTGGGACTTGTCAGTGGAATCCCCTTCTGTGCCTTCGGCTTATTTGCCCTGGTTTGGAAGTGCCGGTTTGGCCCCGGCTCTGGTTCTTTGCCAAGGGCACGTGGGCCTTCGGCTTTGTGCAAGGGAACCTGGATGCGGCCCCCTTATTTCAAATGCATGTATTTGTCCCATTTGCATTCCACATGCTTCCTCTGGGAGGGAACCCAGGTTGGGCCACAGGGTGCCTCTCCGAGTGTTATTCCCGCAGCAATCCTATGAGTGTCGGGAAGGAGGGTGGGCAGCGCTGCCGGCACGCACGCAAGGGTCACGCCAGGGTGGAATCTGCATTCCGAGAGAGGGCGGAGGGGATGAGGCAGAGGAACGCGGGGCTCCAGACTTCGAGATGAGATGAGATGAGATGAGAGACGTGCCACTTCTCGCGACCTCTCCCCGCAAGTGCCCGGGCAGGCTCCGAGAAGAGCCAGAAGCAACAGGGGCTGGGGGCGGTGAGCTAGCTGGAGAGTTCTCCGAGTCAGGCAATCCTGCTATGACTCTGGACCCTGTGATGCAGCAGGAATGAAAGGAAAGAATGACCAACTCATGCAGGAGGGGTTGCTTCCAGACGGGCCCTTCTGAAGGGATCAGGCCCAGACGTGCTCAGCAGGAGGGTTTCTGGAAGTCGTTGCTTAGACTGGGCCCAACCAATCCCCCTGTGCCTGCACAGGGGTAAATTCTGGGAGGGCTGGGTTTGTTGGGTGTCCTGTGGTGGATACAGAATATTCGGCTGCCTTGAATGTGCGGAGGGAGGACCACCGGGCTCAGGCAGAGCGGTGGGCTCAGCCAAGAATCGGTGGCTGCTCCAGAGTCACCTGATGAGCTTCCCGGCTGGCATGAGGGAGCAGAACCCGGGTCCCCCACACCCCAGTCCAGCATTCTAACCACTATGCCACACTCCCTCACATCTTGCACCACTTAGACTGTGTGTAGGTTCTATCAAACTTGGGATTCTTTTTATCATTGGCTAGAGAAACGGGACTATGCATAGATTTCAATATGTTTATAGTTTAACATAAAAAGAAAAAATGTGGGGGGGCTGACCTAGTAGGTCTGATGTTTTCAATGATTGATTTTTTTTTTTTTAGTTTCTTTTTTGTTATTTTTATTAAGAATAAATCTTATTAAAAAAAACCAAAAACCTGTGTGCAGGATGCTGATAGGCTGGCTGCCACGCCCAATTAGGAGGCAGTTGGACCTTCAGGAAAGAGTTCTAGAATGCTTCACATCACAGAGCCTCGTGGACCAAGGAAGAGCCTGCAGAATCAGAGGGAAAAGCCAAGGCAGGCGACATTCTCCCAACAGAGGCACTGAGGTACCCATGAGGGCAGGGCTGGTGGGCAGGATACTTCCCCTGCAAGGAAATTCCAGTGTCCGGGGGCCAAAAAATAGGCGACCAAGTGGAGGTGGTGGATCGCAATGGGGAGCCTGCACGCAGAGAAGTTTCCCTTGCCCAGTCGTGAAATGCCCGGCCCTCCAATGACATTGATGGGCAGCTGATTCAGAAAACATAATCAATTTTTGGAATTCACTGCTGTAAAACATCGACAGTCACTGGTTCAGGTAGCTTCAAATGTGTTTACTGTTAATTGAAAGCTTTCCAAGATTGTCTCTTAACACAAAGACTTCCCAAGGCAGTTTAGAACAAATGCGAACCATAAAGCCACCATTTCAATAATGCAGCACACTTTAAATCCAGACATTACAAATAGCAGGATTGCAAAGCAACCATCAATACAATTTGCATTAATAATCCATTTACAGTAGAACCTAGGCCAACAGAGTCACCACCGGCTGTCCAAAAGCTCATAAGAAGGACAACTTCGCTGCACAGGCGAGAAGAAACTACCTGAAACAGGAATGTCTGGAGAGCCACTTGGAAGGCTTTGTATGGGAACAACCGTTTTTCCCTGGGGGGGGGGGGGTTCCACAAATCAGGGACCATCAACTAAAACACCTTGTTTCTAGTGCATGGCCATCTGTGTTAACTTCATAGGAGGCCAGCAAGCAAGAGACCCTGATTCCCATCCCGAGGCACGCAGATTTGTTTTAGAAAAGTTTTCAGCAATTCCCCTTATTTTTAAAAAACCTCACTGTAAATGTAGCACACCCCTCCCCCCACCAAAAAAACACCCCTACTTGCTGAAATCTGGCAAACATAATTCCCTGATAAATTGAGTGCTGCAAATTTCATCATCTAGTGAACAGAAAAACGGGGGTAGCTTTGGCTTGGCTTGGCTTGGCTTGGCTTTGAAATTCCCAGTGCTAGCTGATAGGAGGCATGAGAATATTATTTCCAATTTGCAATTCACATCCAGGTGAAGTAAATAACCTAAGCAGCTTAGACTTCAGTAAAGAAATCGCATTAAATTAATAAATGCACGTATGGTTGGAACGCACCCCGGCACACATGTGTGTACACGTGAACATATATGCACATGTGTTTGTGTATAGGTGAAGCATTTCCAAGGGCTGCTTGATATTGATTGGGTGCTCTTCTCAGGCTCCCACTGTCCTTTCAGAGAAACATGATACAGTCGGAACGTGTGCCCAGCTGAGGAGATCCGCCGACATGGGTCCTAAGGCTGCCGCGGCAGATCCTGATGGTTGGTATACTGCATCGTCATGAAATTGTGGTTCCTTGCACAGGGAAAGGACGGGGAGCGCACAGGCAGGCAGGAAAACCTGGAAGCAGCCAGGAGGGCCAGGGGAAGAAAGCCTGCGGAGGTCAGGGGGCTCCGGGCCAAATCTGTCTCCAGATGCCACCTGCCCTCTGAGGCTGGTAGCAATTTCTCAGAAAAGGTTTTCCTCCTGCCTTTTCTGTTTCAAGTTCCACTTCTGTTGCTGGAGAACTTAAGTGCACCTCTGGAGAAGAATCGTGGCCCAGTTCCACTGCCTGCATGGCAATAAGTGAGAATTTTAGGCATGCATCCGGATCTTGTTTTAATATTTGCTTGTAGTATTTGAATACCATGGGAAGGATCCCAGGCTTGGCTCATCCTGCTTCCAGGAGTCTAATTTAGCTTTTTCTTCACCCACCCATCTGAGCAAGCAAGGGTGACACTCAACTAAAATTTCTACCATTTGAGCTAAACTTTGGGGAGCTAAAATTTCTCAAAACGGTTTTCTAGGATTTTTCCCAACAATTTTCTGTCTGGACTCCAGCCAAAGTTGAACTTCATCCTGCTTGTGTCCCAGAATATTCGGCATGTCCTCCACCCCGGTTTGGCTGTTTGCAAGTGGCAGCGGGGGCGGGGGGGGGCTGTTTTGGGGGTTTGCCTGGACTCACAGGGAGATTCAGCGGTGAGCACCACCAGCGGTGAGAAGATGCTGCCAGGCCATAGGACACCCCCCCCCCCCCCCCCCCCGATGAGGCCTTGAAGTCATCCTGAGGCTGCGCAGGGAGGCGCGTGCCCCGAGCGGGGGAGGCAGCTCAGCCTGGCCATGCCACAGACACGCCCCAAAGGTGCAGGAAGGGGGGAATCTACACTCGGGGGGTGGCTGCAGCTTGCTAACCAAACCCCGTGTTATGGTGTGCAAAAGCGTCCTAAACTGGGATGGCGAATGAGAGCTAAAGTGGAATTTTCTTTCCTGTTGCTTATCATGAAGCGAAAAATCCGTATTGGGAAACAAGGAATGGAAAAAGAACTACGCTTGCCATCTTCCTGTTCCTCTTGGTTGTCGTGCCCATACTGAGTGCGCTGTGTAAGTAGTTCTGTTCGTTTAGCAATTGCTGTCCCTTAATCACCACTGCTTGTCACGGGCAAAATACAAGCTCATGCCAAGCAAGTAGACACAGAAAGAGAACGAGAGAGAAGGGGCCTCCCAGGCCATCCAGTCTGAACCTGGCTCCAGCCGGCTCTGACATGCCCACCTTGCGCATGTCCTTGGACACCCGCACCGATGGGGCCTCAACAACCTCCTGGGGAAGCCCAGTCCACACCCTCGGGGTCCTGACTGTCAGGAAGTGCTTCCTGGCATCCAAATGGAACCTGGGCTCCCTGAGCTTTGCTCCCTTGGAGCGTGTCCTGCCTTCCTCTGCAGGGGAGAACAGGTCTCTGCCCACCTCCGTGTGACACCCCTCTGTCTAGCCACCTTGGAACTTCGTCTTGAATTCCACAAGGTTGGTCTGGCAAGACCTGTTATTCCAGAAGCCGTGTTTGGCTGCCAGCCTCCCTTCCCTATCTAGCATCACTAGATCTCTTGCTATTATGAGCCTTTCCATGGTTTTTCCTACAATGGACGTAAGGCTAACAGGTCTGTAATTCCCCATGTCCCTTCTACTACCCTTTTTGAAAATTGGGACCACTGATGCCACCCTCCAGTCCTCTGGAACTTCACCCGTTCTCCACGAGGCCTCAAAAATGGAGGCCAGCGGGCGTGAGAGAACCCCGGCCAACTCTCTAAGTACTCTCGGGTGTAGCCCGTCAGGGCCTGGCGCCTTTGTAATGTCCAATGCCCCGAGGAGCCCCTTGACTTCAATGGGGGTTACTCTAATCTGTGCCCCTAAGTCCCTGGCCTGATTTAATCTCCCATGCGGATCTCCCCGTCCTGCTTTGGGGAGAATACAGAGGCAAAGTAGTCATTTAGCATCTGTGCCTGTTCCCTCATAGCAGTCACTGGATCTCCTTCCTCCTTATTTAGTGGTCCCACCACTTGTCTCCCCTTCCTCTTCCTATTTACATGCTGAAAGAAGCCCTTTTTGTTGCTCTTGATATCCTTGGCAAGTCTCAGCTCGTAATCAGCCTTAGCCTTGCGAAGAATCCTTCTGCAACAGGCCTCCTCCTCCCGGTATTCCCTTTTGTCTATTTCCCCCAGTACCCATTTCCTATGGAGGTTCCTCTTTCGTCTAATCCCTCTAACCACCTCCTTTTGCATCCATGGAGGCACTCTCCTCCGCCTCCCCACCTTGCTTACTAGAGGTATCGTCAAGGCTGGCGCCTCCAAAACCTCCTTTCTGAGTGCCATCCACTCCTCCTCAACTCCCTGGCCTTCCAGTAACCCATCCCAGGAGACTTCCCCCAGTCTGGCCTTCAGTTGTTGGCCCTCAAAGTTGGCCCGCTTGAAGTCCCAGCTTCTAGTGCTCGACCTGCTGCCTGTCTGCAGTCCCCTGATCTCAAAGCAAAGGATGGAGTGATCACTTGCATCCAGAGCTCCCCTGAGCTGTACCTCATCTATCAGCTCCTCCCTATTGGTCAAGACCAAGCCAAGGATGTTCCCCCGCCCCGTCGCCTCTCAAACCCTCTGTGTGGAAAATCCCTCCCTCTATAACTTCTAGGAAGCAACGTGGCCTGGCTGTCACCGCCAAGTGAGTCTCCCAACTAATATCCGGGAGATTGAAATCTCCCATAATTACTGTGTCTCTCCCCCAAGATATCCTTAGAATCTGGCCTGTAAGGACATCATCCAGGGTCTCAAGTTGACCTGGAGGGCAATAACATACCCCCACTGCCAGGTCCCTTTCCCTGTCAAAACCCCTAAGTTTCACCCAGACTGCCGCTACCGAATCCCCATCTGCGCTGCATTCCATGTACAACTTCCCAGCCCTGCAGGCTTTGATTCTTTCCCACGGGGTGCCAGGCCCCATTCGAGGGGCCAGGATAGGTGAGGGACAGCGTGGTGTTACCTGTGTGGGCTGCACCTCTTGCAAGAGCAGGTCAACAACCAGACATCTTTTTGGCAGAACCTCTCTGCTTCTTGCTCCCTGGAGAGATTTACCAACATTGGTTGGTGAGCCGAGCTGGAAGGAAGAAATTCCGGGGATTTGAGAGGAACCGAACTCCACCAGCTCCAGTCGATCGAACTGAGATGGGCAGAATGGGAGTCCCTGGTGGCACAGCCAGGGACACCGCTTTGGCCCCACAAGGCTTTGCTCCATAGTTCAACCCAGCAACCCCACCCAGAAATTCCTCCAGGATAAGCACGCAGAGAACGAATACCCGGCAAAGGCATGGAAGCCCATCAGCAGAGCGAGCGCTGCTGGATCAGACCTGGGCCCCATCCCGTCCAAGCTTCTGCTGCTCAGGGACTGTGCGCAGGATCCCACAAGTGGGGCAGGGCACCCCAGCGCCCCTCCTTGTCCCCCCGAAAGCAAGGGGCCGGGCTGGGTCATGGGAGTGAAGGAAAGAAAGGTTCTCGCGCACATACGCATGCTTCTGGGAGTGCGTTGCATTCAATGCCGCAAGGCTTACTTCTGAGTAGAGCTATGTAGGAGCACTCATCGCTTGAAAGCACTTGGTGAGGGCAAGCAAGTCACCCATGCTAAAGTGCATCCCATCGCAAGGAACAGAGCACTGCTAAGTCACCATGGCACCGTACGTGGAAAGGGGAGAATCCGCCCATGTGGGAGAAGGAACGAGCTGACGGGAGGGCTGGGTTTTGGGTTTCCGATTGCCCTGCGGGAAGCGACCCACCACTGTGGGAACGCGATCCCCAGAGCCCCGAAATGAGTGCGCGAGGTCAGTAGTCTCCACTAGCAGCAACGCGAGCCATTCGCCCCCCCCCCCCCGGCTGGACAACGCAGTTCTGCAGTTGCCCATCTCAGCCCCAGCCCAAGTGCCCCCCTGGAGGTCGCCTTCGATGGGCTGCCCAGCAGAGCTCCCAGAAACAAAGCATGGCCATTTTCTTTTCTTTCCTGTAAACTTGGTGGCCAATAAAAATATCCGTCCGTCCAACCCAACCCAACCCAACCTTTTCTTCCGTTCTTCCATTCCCCTGCTCTCCCGTTCCCTCATTCCCTCATTTCCTTGTTCCTTCATTCTTCTGATCTTTCAATCTTCCATTCTTTCTCAGAGAGGCAGCACACCCATGTGAGCACCAAGCTGTGTCTGAAACTTGCAATGCAGTTTTCCCGTAAAAATGCATAAAATGCATAAAAAAGAAAACATGAGCATGGAATGCATCAATTAGAGAACATACCAAAGACTTTTGCCTTTGCCTTAATGACCCGTGTTTGGGATGAACCCAGCTGAAGCCTGGAAAAGGAGACATGGAGTTCCCGGAAATGGGCAGGTGCACCTGTGGCTCACCTGGACCCACAAAGAGCCACGGTGCTTGCAGGGAGCAGTGGAGCATAAGCACCGTGTGCCCCAAGGAGTGTCCCCCCCCCCCGTCTCTTTAGATTATCAAGAGGTGCAAAAAAGGAGTGACATGGCTATCGCGATGCAGGTGATCCGTGGCTTCGTGGTTGGGATCGACCCGTTCTTTGAAGAGAGATCCGGTAAGCGAAGCCCAGCGCCTCTCTGGCCTGCTTCTCTCCGCCCAGCATGGCCTTCCCCAGAAGAGCTGGCTCAGCCGGCAGCAACCGGGCTGGGAGCCAGTGGGCCAGCCAGAGACGGCTCCCAGCCAGCCCACCAGCAGAGGCGGCGCAAGCGTTTGCCGAGCCCCCGCGGCCACCTGGCAGGCCGGGCTGTGAGCCCAGGGCCGGGCGGGCACCCGCGCCAGGAGCTGGCTGTTCTGGGGAGCGCGGCCCCCTTCGGAGCAGACTCCGTGCTGGGCTCTTTCATGGATCGAGCCAGCCTCCCCCTGGAGGGGACTCACCGGCAGCCCTGTGGGGCAGCTCGTCACAGTGGGGCGGGAAGCCGGACCAGGCTGGCAGCGGTCTGCCCCCCGTGGCGGTGCGCCTTCCTCCCATGCCCGCCTCCTGCTCTGGCCTTCGGGCGGCACCCAGGGGCACCGTAGGGAGAGGTCCCTGCCGCGAGGAGCTGGCCGTGGCTGCCTCACCATCTCTGGTGTGGGATCAGGGCCTGTGTCCTGAGACACGGGGAGCGGAAGGGGAGCTGTTCTGGGACCCCTGCCCCCGCCTCCAGAGAGGGCTTCTGGGGCAGGAGGTGGGGGGCCAGATCCACTCCCTGCTCCCCGATCCCCGGCTGGGGCAGCACTGCCCAGGCCCGCTTCTGCCAGAAAGGGGGCAGCCAGCGACGGGGGCACCGCCTGCCCTTCCGCACTTGCCGATCGCCCGGCACGGCACCCTCCAGGCAGCCGCTCTCCCGCATAGCAGCGAGGGGGCGGGGGTGCAGGAAAGTCCTGGATAGACAAACACCAAACCAGTGGTGTGCTTGCCTTCGTCTCCGCTCCAGCCTGGGAGACGGGCACTCTAGGGAGAGCAGGGCCGGAAGGGCCGGGGCTGGCCAGGGATGCCTGGGCTCAGCCTGCCCCCGGGTGAGCGGGTTTGTCTCCCGCAGAAGCACGGCGGGGGGGCCGGGCCAGGCAGGGACCCACTGAGAAGAGCATGTCCTTGCCCCACCGCGGTCTCTCGTTCCCTCTGCTGCTTGAGCGGAAGCTGCGTTTTGGCTAGCCACCTCCCTTGCACAGTGGCTCTCTCGTTCTGGCCTTCCTGCCATGAGGGACGGGCTTCCCCAGGTTTGGCCAGGACAACAAGCCATCCTGGTGGAGAGAAGCCATAGAACAAATCTTTCTTCTTTACCGTGGTTCCGAAGGCAAACCTGCCATGCTGAAGAACCACAACTGTGTTCGAATGACAGGCAAACAACGATAAAAACCCGCAGTGGGTTGTTACATCAGGAGAAACCAGTCATTATCTGGATTTAACTTCTGTGTGCTCACCAAGGCTTCTACTGGATTTTTATCCCACTTTTCTGCCAGTGTGTGCATCCACATGCATTCTCAAAATTCAAAATAAACTGAAGTCAAACCTGGAGAAATTCTCAAAGTTGGAGACAACTAAGACTTAAATACTGGAAACATGAGAACCTGAAAGTGGAACAGACACATTTGTCTCTCCGTGGAGTAGACCTATGTGGGATTGAGATGCAAGGGGATTTAAGCAGAGGTGGGATGCAGCCCACCCTCGTTATCCCAGACAGCGAGTCACAGGAAAGTGGCAAGCATCCCAGAGGGGAAGCAGGAAGCTCTGCCCGAAGCCCCAGCTCAAGTGGAGGCCATTCCTCTCCTCATTCCACAGAAGGCATCAGCCCCTCTGTGCCTTTCCTTTCCCCTGCGTTCGTGGTGTTCCTTGTGCGCCTTGTTGAGGTGTGAGAGCCAGGCAGCGCTAGAGAGACTGGATGCACAACGCTGTCCCCTCGCCTGCTCTCCATTGTGTTGTGGTGGTGAGAATGCTGGACGGCGACATCAGAGATTTGAGTCCTAGCCTCCACTTGGCCATGACACTCGCTGGGTGACTTTGGGTCCATCTCAGATTGTCAGCCCAACCTACCTCACAGGACAGTTCTTGGGGGAGAAAATGGAGCTATCTGCGCCCCCTTGGGCTCGTCAGAAGAGGAAAGCGGGCAAAATAGACATGCCACTTAATCTTTATCATCTTCACCATCCAGGTTTGAACCCAGGGCTGGGGAACATCCAGTTGGAGAGAACACCTAGCTGGCCATCAGAGGGTTAGGGCTCCAAGCACGGGCCCCTCGAGTCCCATTGCTGTGCTTTTCTTGCAGCGGGTTGGCTCAGGAGAAGGTCCTGCATCCCCCGGGGGTCAGTCTGGGGGGCTGGAAGGACTGGTGCCGCATCCTTGCTGAGGAGAATCAAGCTTGCTTCTAACTGGACAGCTCACTCTTGGCTCTTTCACAGCAGGGTACAAGTGAATATTGGGGGGTGATTTCTCAGCATCGGGGGGCCATTGTGAGACTCTGATCATTGCAACTCCTTTAGATGCCGATGTGATCATTGCCGCTCAGAACATATCACAAGAGCTAGTGGAAATTGTCACTCTCAATGAAGAGTTGGAAGAAGTGATCGGTAAGTGATGCTGTGATGCTGGAGAACGAGTCTCTGGGAGAGACTCTGCGGCCGCGTCTGGTGAAAGACCCTGTTCAGCCTGGTTCTGAGCCCCCTGCTCTCCTCACTTCTGTCCACCCTTAACAAAACAGAAGTTGAATCTCAGAGGCAGGTTTGGGCAACATCAAAGTAGCCAGGACCACTTTTCCCTGTTTCAGCTACAGAAGCCAAGTTGCTTCTGCCAGTTCCAGAGCAAGGAACAAGAGGAAGCATTGAGAGCAAAAAAGCCAATGGAAACCCACGAGCCGAAAGCAAAGGCTCCTCCCTGGCTTCTGTGCGCCGTCTTAAGCAGCTGACTTGCACTAGGGCAGACCAGGCGAAAGACGGCATCCGTTTACACACCGCAAAAGCCACTTACGGAGCTCCTGTGCTAAGAGCTGTGGTCGTGGCCGCGGGAAGTTGGTGCAGCGCAGCTGCCGTCCTCCATTTTGTTCCACGGAGGTTCCCAGAATGCAGGCTTGCCAGAGAGCTGCCCGGGCTCAAGCACCCGGTTCTGAGGGGGGCTTTGCTCAGAGCAGGGCATGCGCCTGCTTGGCGGGGTGCCCCGGAGACTGCCTGTGCCGTCCGTAGTGCCTGAGGCAGCCCTCCTGCGGGACACGCACCCTCCCCCTCAGCTGCTCTGTGGTCCTCTGGGGGTGGGCAGCTGCTCCTTGGCCATCTCTCCAGATGCCCAGGCTTTGAAGAAGGACCCCTGCAGAGTCTCGGACAAGTTCTGACGGTCCATCAGAACCGTGGGATCCTCAGATCATCCACCTGACTGAGAACAAGCCAAAAGGTGGGCCGCTGGATGCAGTTTCTTCTTTCCCCCTGGAGCAGGAAGGGCCCTTTTCTCCCACCTCGAGCAGCCCGGGAGCCCACATCCCCACGAGTTTCCTGCCAGTCACACCCTTCTCTGGCACGCTGCACGCATCCGAGAGGCCCCTAAGCAGACCCATTCACTTCTCCTTCATACCCCCAGGCTTTGAGGTTGTTCTCCAACGGGTGGCCAACACCCCACAGCTTCTGGGGGCCACATGGTAACCCCAGTCCTCATTCCACAATTCCTGCTGATGCTTTGCAGATGACAAACACAATGCACCCTCCCCGTGCAGTTTGCGGTTGATCTTTGCCAATTTAGTGCCTAGCTGCTCTGGAAGAGAGGACTGTATTTTTGTCAATAGCTGGTTCCAGCTCCCTGTTGCAATGAAAGGCCTGCTCATTTCCAGAACTTCAGGGTCATCAGCAGGTGTAGGGATGCTGACACAACCGGTGCCGTCACCTGATGGAGTGACTCCCGTTTGGGTTGAAGGAACACTATTCTTGTGTTTGTCTGAGGAGGAGAGTTGGTAACCTTAGACTGCTTGTTTCTCAGTCTATAAATTGTCAAACTGTCTTGGTTGCCTAGGCATAGGTATTAAATCAATAATGAATACACACATAACCAAAAGGAGGATACACGGAACATTCCAGAATACAGGACAAAGTCAGGACCACAGAAGACCTCGCAGTCCTGTTCAAGCAAGAACAAATATCAATTTTATAGATTAAGCCTCCAAGTTAGCCACCACGACTTGGTAGAAATTTATAACATTTCTGAAATTTTGAGTTCTGGAGGATATCAAATTCACGTTGAGGGAACCTTGTCTGGAGTAGCTCAGGATTTCAGGGACTCCATGGCAACCATGTCCTTGGCATACTCTATGCCAGACCTTCTCAACTGGTCGTGGAGATGGTGAACTGAACGGGAGGGGGTTTTCCAGCCTTCCCTTTGTTGGGGTCATATCACCTCTGGTGGAGCTTCCGGCTGCCTGGAGCTTTCCCACCACTCCTTGCATTTACGCCGTCTGCCCCAGAGGCGAATGCATCCAAGGAAACTGGTCACTTCCCCGACGGATTTCTGTAATGCAGTTCATGTGGGGCTGCCCTTGAAGATGGTCCGGATACTTCAGATGGTGCAAAACAGAGCTGCCAGGATGCTGTCGGGGACTGGGCGTTATTCTCACATAACCCCAGTCCTCTACCAGCTTCACTGGCTCCCCATCAAAGTCCGGGCTCAATTCAAGGTGCTGGTTATCACCTACAAAGCCCTCAACAGCTTGGGACCTGGTTATCTAAAGGAGCGCTTGCGTCCATATATGCCCTCCCGCCCCCTGAGATCGGTGGAGGAGGCCCTTCTCCAGGAGCCCTCTGGGAGGGATATCAGGAGGGTGAGTACCCGGAGGAGGGCCTTCTCTGAGGTGGCGCCCCATCTGTGGAATGCGCTCCCCAGAGAGGTCCACCTGGCGCCGTCATCATTTGTTGTTCGGAACCAGGCTAAGACCTTTTTATTTAAACAATATTTTAACAAGTTTTAATACTGAATTTTATTACCATCTTTGAATTGCAGTCAGAGTAGGTCGTTTATTTATGTTATACCATTATGTATTGGAATTTTATTTGTGTAAGTTATCCTGAGGCTCTCGCAAAGGACAGCATACAAATGTCTTAAATAAATAAGTAAAATTCCCAGAGAGCTCTCTAGTATTTCCACCTTATGTCCCTGATTCTCTTGTTGAAGACTTTACTGATCTGCAGGATGGAGAAATGGCCTTAATGGCTGACAGGGCTGATCTGTTCACCTGTTCATCAAACACCTTTCCTCATGGGCAGAGTTTGTACTACTCTATGGAATAACTCAGAGCTGAGATCAGTGCAAAACTAGATGGAGTAGAAATGGAGGAAAATTCCCCGTGGCCCCAGTGGACACTGAGGTGTGCGGGTGGATGCACAGGCAAAGAAATAACCTTTGTGTTTGCCAGCAGGGTTTTCCCGGGCTGCCAGGTCAGGGCTGATGCGGTCTCACCCGAGGGCCACGGAGGGAGCATGCGAAACCCACTGCTTGCAAGGCACACCCGAGGCAAAACGCCTTACGTCTGCCGGGGTGCAGAGCCCAACGTTAGAGGAGGCGTGAGGAGTCCAGAACATGGCCTTGCCTCACCTTGTTGGATGAGTTTCAGGGCTTCAGCTTGAGAAGGAACGAGGATGGACTTAAACCTCTGCCCCGCATGGGTGCCTCCTCTGGCAGGGTGAGGACACCAAGCTTGGCCAGGGAAGCAATGGAAGCGTCCTTCCAACACGGGAGAACCCTGGGCCACCAGCAGGAGGCTGCGAGAAGGCGCGTCACATCTGAGAAACTTTACATCGGTGGCAGGTCTCCCTCTTCTTGCATGAGCCTCATACAGGAGGGCCCCTCTCGAGAGGCTTTTGGGCTGGACCCATTATCTGGATCCATTTCAGGCCTGGTTTTGGCATGGAAACAGCCTCGGTTGCCCCATACGGTGACCTAGGTTGGGGGAAAGACAGTGGGAGTGTGGCCCTCTTAGTCGTCTTGCCCCCTTGACTGCTTCTAATACCACTGGCCATGCCACCCTTCCGTGGTGAATGTTTGGACAGGCACATGGTGGGCATGTCATGAGCGGAGCCGGGGTCAGACTAGATGGCCCAGGAGGGCCCTTCTGACTCGCTCTGCTTCGATGCTTCTGCTTACAGGTAGAATACTGCAGAGGCCCTGCTGCTGCTTCCATGGCCAGCTCCAGGAGTTGGTGCTTGGGTTCTATAGCTCAGCTATTTATTTATTTATTTATTTATTTATTTATTTATTTATTTATTTATTAAAACATTTCTATGCCGCCCCTTGCCAAAGCCTCGGGGCGGCTCACAACATAGAATAAAATACACAATAAATTAAAACAATAACAATTAAAATATATACATTAGAACAAAATAAGCCGCCCTGGCCAAATAAAATTCAATAATATTAACATTTAAAATGCTGCCTAAATAAAAAGGTCTTCACCTGGCGCCGAAAAACAAATAACAACGGCGCAAGACGGACCTCTCTGGGGAGCGCATTCCATAACTTAGGCGCCACCGCTGAGAAAGCCCTCCTCCGAGTAACCACCCTCCTAATTTCCTTCACTGAGGGCTCCCGGAGGAGGGCCTCTCCTGCTGATCTCAGGGGGCGGCTGGGCATATATGGACGTAAGCGCTCCTTCAGGTAACCAGGACCCAAGCCGTTTAGGGCTTTATAGGTCATCTCCAACACCTTGAATTGGGCCCGGACCTCAATGGGAAGCCAGTGAAGCTGCCGGAGAACTGGAGTCATGTGAACATAACGTCCAGTCCCCGTCAGCAGCCTGGCAGCTCTATTTTAAACCAATTGAAGTATCCGGACCATCTTCAAGGGTAGCCCCACGTAGAGCGCGTTACAGAAGTCAAGACGGGAAGTCACCAGCGCATGAGTCACTGTTGCAAGGCAGTCGCACTCCAGATAGGGGCACAGCTGATGAATCAGCCGAAGCTGGAGGAAAGCGCTCCTCGCCGCTGCTGTTACCTGAGCTTTGAGTGAAAGCTCTGGGTCGAGGAGCACTCCCAAGCTGCGGACCTTGTCCCTAGGAGGGAGTGCAACCCCGTTCAGGACAAGGTTCAATTCACCTTCTCCGAAGCCTGAACCGCCTACCAACAGGACCTCCGTCTTGTCTGGATTGAGCTTCAGTTTATTGGCCCTCGTCCAGCCCATTACCTCGGCCAGGCACCAGTTCAGTACAGCCACTGTCTCACCTGGATTGGTGGAAAATGAGAGGTAGAGCTGGGTATCGTCAGCGTACTGATGATTCCGCAGCCCACACCTCCTGATGACCTCTCCCAGCGGTTTCATGTAGATGTTGAACAGCAAGGGGGACAAAATGGACCCCTGCGGTACTCCATGGCATAAATGCCATGGCGCAGAGCCATAGTCCCCCAGCACCACCTTCTGGAACCGGCCATTGAGATAGGAGCAAAGCAGTGCCTCCGACCCCCAATCCCGCAAGCCTATCCAGAAGGATACCACGGTCGATGGTATCGAAAGCCTCCGAGAGGTCCAGGAGAACCAACAGGGACACACTGCCCCTGTCCTTCTCCCTGCACAGGTCATCATACAGGGCGACCAAGGCAGATTCAGTACCGTACCCGGGTCTGAAGCCGGACTGAAATGGGTCCAGATAATCAGTTTCATCCAAGAGTGCTTGGAGTTGTCCCGCCACCACTCACTCCAACACCTTGCCCAGAAACGGGATGTTGGCCGCAGGTCTATAGTTAGTGGCCATCTCTGGATCCAGTGACGCTTTCTTCAGGACCGGTCGTATTACCGCCTCCTTTAAAGGGGCAGGCACCCGACCCTCCCTCAGAGAAGCGTTAACCACTTCCAAGATCCAGGTCCCAATCCCATGCTTGGAGTTATTTATTAACCAAGACGGGCAAGGATCCAATAGGCAAGTGGTGGGACGTACTCGTCCAAGCACCTTGTCCACATCATCGGGCCGCAGTAACTGAAATTCATCCAATAATTCTACATGGCTTCTGCAACCTTCTTAAGTTCTCTTCTGCACTTAGGTTCTTCTGGGTTCCACGAAGGATGGTTTTGAGCCTGGTACCATTTAACATCTCCATGAAGCTGTTGAGCAGGACTTCTTGAGTCTGGAGAGTGTTGTGACCACTGGCTGGGTGACGGCTCATGTACTGAAATGCAACCCAGACAAAACCCAAATTCGGTTAATGGGCGGATCTTCTGACCTGATGGCGTTGTCAGGGGATTGCAGTCCTGC